ACAGAGACATAGTCAATATAAGTAAAATGAAATAGAGGTATACACACTGTAGGTGGAAGACCTGGCAGTCCACGTACCCCGATGACAGCATTGAGCTCTGCCATAGTCACCTGTTTTGCGCGCTCTACAGCTTGGACGACCTGCTGCTGATGCTGCAAAACACACACACATACACAAAACAAGGATGAGAACTGTGAGTAATGGGTCTTATTATCAGTGAAGCTAGCAGAGAGTGTCTGCATAAAAACAGTCTGTAGCTCAAAGTCACACGTACTTACCTCCTGCGAGAGGAAGGGAATGACTTGTGCACAGATGGTGTTTAGTCTCTTGGCAATCTCAGTCTGGTGAAGGAACAGACACACAGAGACAGAAAGCGACTTAATTTTTAATAACATAATTACATTCATTTAGAAAAGACAGCTGTGGAGTAACACCAATAAAGTCATACAAGCACACACACACACACACACACACACACACACACACACACACACACACACACACACACACACGAAAAATGCTATCTCCACAGTAAACACACAAACCTACCAGTGTACAAATTAAAGACACATCCACTTGTCTTTACAGAGCAGTGTGTAGCATTTATCAGCATCACAAACAGACACACACAGTAAGATGAGATTTCCCTCTCATCATCAGTGTGAGCTCAAATTTCTCTATTGCCTGTTGTATTTCTTTTTGCTCTCTCTGGGCTCTTGTCCCTCTTCCCATCAGCACTTCAGCATAATCTCTTTAGCTACTAACTTCATTTAGTCTCACCCAGTATCCATGCCAACACATCCGCCTGCCCCCCAAACCCCCGGAGGTGGCTACAATTGGCTGAAACCAGATAGCCCCACAGTGGCATTAAATCAGATAAGGGACCTCATATTACATAGCATCCAATCAAATTGATACAAAGGAGGCCAGGGTGAAGAGGGAACTGGAGGAGCCATGAAACGTAGCTCATCAGATGCACACATGACCCATAAATAGATACACGCAGAATTGTCAAAGACATATATACTGTTCTTAAGGGAAAACCTAGAAAAAGATGATTTGTATTATTATGGGATAAAAACTAATGCCACAAAGTGAACAAGACCAAAACACAGTCATCAAGACATGTGCTATGTCACAGCACAGAGCAACTTTCTGGGAATTTAAGTGAACAAGCTCTTACATCACCTGCTGTAAAAATTACTGCATACAATTAGTCCCGTATTTACAGTTACAACACACCACCTTTTCTTCATTTGCACAAGCCTAACTAGACATACATTGCTATGGCACAGTCATGTTTGAGCTAAATATTAGTAAACCATAAATTGCTTTGGGCTACTTAACACTTAAGACTACAAAAGAAGATAATGGTAATATAGGTATTTGAGGATGATGCCAGATGAGAAGTCAAAGGATCAACTGGACAATTCAGTGTGTATGTCTGCCCCATATTTCATAACAATCCATACAAAAGCTGTCAAGATATGTTACTCCAAACTACAAATGTCAACCTCACTGAAGTAAAGGTCCGGGGGACAGCTCCTCTGGAGACAATGAATGTCAGAACAAAATGTTATAGTCTGGATCACAGGAAGCAACAGTTTCATGCCGAAAGCCAAATAAACCCAATTATAACATTAAAATCAAGTCTTAATCCGAGGGATGTGATCCTTAATTGGTTCTCACAAACATAGAATGACACAATCGCTCAATCAACTGACCCTGCTACAGCTCAGCCAATTATGTACTTGGATACCTGGATAAGCTAATTTAAGTTCAAGTCGATTCAAAAGCAGCTCTAAACTAAATAAGTAACTGCTTCACTTATAAAAAACCTTGGGAGTACAACTGAGACTAAAAAAAGAAAATACATGGAAGGATTCAAATTATTCACATGACGCTACTAAAAAGGTGAATAAGTAAATATGCTATTCAAATGTAAGTAAAGATAGAACTAACAAATAGAGGTAAGTAAAGATGGGATTGCTTCACGCTGAACAAACTCAACACTATAAATAATTGACTCTACAAGGATCAAAGAGAATATGGAATCAAAAGCAGTTATAGGCCTTCAGAGCAGTTTGTAGTACTGTATGTGTGTGTGTGTGACTCTACAAGACATGCAATACAACGTGTCTAATAAAGATTTGATCATTCTTATTTACACATGCGAATACACTGGGACTATAGCTGCATAATGTAAAACACATAATGTTTTACAGTGTTTTCACATTCTCTGATGTTTATTTAACCGCTTTGACTTCTGTGCAGTGTTTATGTGATGTGTAATGCCATTATTTTCAGCCAGTACTATTTCCACATATGTGCAACTGATGTACCCGTTACTTCACCCTTAGTACAATACATCAACTCATTTTCAGCCCTATAAAAACCTGCACCCTGACCAGCTCACAGGTTGCTGACTTCTGCAAACTGTAACTCAATCTCAACTACTGGTTCACAACTTCAACCATGTCTAGAAATCTCAAAATACCGGCCTATTTCAGGAAGACTATACCAGCACTTCCATTCTCAGAAGCCTGATTTGTAAGCCCACAATTAGCCTTGTATGAAGGCTAACTGATTAGGCCGTCTGAGAATAGTCTGACTTACTACTATCAGGTCAGCTGAGCTAATCTAACTAAGCTGACTGACAAAACTAACAAGGATCAAACAAATGAGGCTGCAGTCCCCAAGAGACGGACTTTTACAGATAGTGCCTCAAGGACATTTGAAGGAAGTAAAATGAAGATAAAATCATTCATAGCAAACTTCTTCTCAGTTCCAACGTTGGAGAATTTCTATAATGCACAGTCTGGCTGATATATAATTGAGAGCAGGTAAACAACAGTTGAGGATACAGAGAGAGGATGCATGTATACCGACACAAAGTGCTAACAGAAAACAGGCTTCCCATTCCACATATAATTGGAGTATTACTGTCACACTACAAGCACACACACACCCATACTTCCAGCAGCAGGAGGTAGGTTGTTAGTCTGTATCCCCTGTACCCCCCGCACACAGAAGCTTGTTGCTCTGACAACTGCAGCCCCAAGCTAATGACCTCCCCTGGAGCTTTAGTGCGTAAGTGTTTGTGTGTGTGTGTGTGTGTGTGTGTGTGTGTGTGTGTTTGGACAATGGGAAAAAGATGCAGCTCCCTCATAATGAAAGAACAGTAGCTCAGCATGGACATAAAATGAAAGAAGAGCCAAGAAGAGAAAAAAGACACAAGGGGGTGGGGGGGTGTAGCTCAAGAAAGAAGAGATCCCATGATTGTAAATGGAAAGTGAGCAAGGCGTAGAGAAAGGGTGAGAACGTGGGGTATGAAAGGGGGAAAAATAACAAGAGGAGAAGGAGAACATATGAAAAAAAACCTTAGGGAAGGGAGTGTGAAAGAGTCGGAGGCGCATCCCCGCTCTTCAGTGAAGCGGCCGGGCCAATCCACCTCCAATTTCCTCTGGTCTGACTGGTCGATAGCTGTGGTAATTACTGGTAAACGCTGTGAGCCCTGCACGTGTGTCTGTGTGCATTGGAGTTCGTGTGTTTTTGCTCCTTATCCACACATACTGTACACATACTGTATATTTGCCTTGAAACCCGTGCTTCTGCAGAAGCATATTTGACTTTTTGTGTGTACATTAGTAAGTGCATGTGTCAAATGTTCTCATGTCCTTAAGCTTTGGCAAACATTTCTTATGCTTATTTGCATCCTGTGTGTGTGTGTGTGTTTGAATAACAGCAAAGTGTCCTAATCACCCTCGTGCGTTGTGTTTCCTTACATGTGCATTTGGCTGACCTAACTGTGCGTTGTTGCGTTTTGCCTCTGAAAGTGGGAAGCTTCATTGCTACTCCTCTGCCTGCTTCACCGTGATCGATTCCTCTGCCCTCCCCAGCCCTGCCCCTCTAATGTAATAAAGCAGGTCGCTCTCCTAGACAGCACCAATCAATCTACAGAGCCATTCATCCTGCCTCTGGGCTCAGCCGGCTGGCCCTAACTGAGGAAATGGAGACAGAGCCCCATCGATCACAAATAAATACGCACACACACACAAAGCGGGATACAGTAAAACACACACAGATGCATTTGTGGACACACAAGAACACGTCAACACGCGCACACACCAAATCCATCAAAAACCTTGCCACGAGAGAGAGAGGGATGGAAAGAGAGAGGAGGAAAGAAAAACAGGAAGATGCAGAGAGTGGACAAGAGGCAACCATACCTGTTTGTGCATTTCGATGTTGAGGCCATAAGACATCTCATAGTACTAAGAGGACAGAGAGAGTCAGAGGATTGAATTAGTGATATAAAAGAGAGAATATGTGTGATCTTATAAATGAGTGTTTTACTGGAAAAAACAGGCGTCGATTCTAACTACTTTTAATGGACGCAGCATTCAAATCAAAGGTTTTACACCCGAGTCACCTTTGAGGCAAAGTAGATAAAGGTGTTTACACAACATTCTCTTCTTAAGACACACTTCACCTCACTTTGTTTCAGTGAAAATAGCTTGACACTTGCTAAAGTGTGGACATTAACTTATCTTTTGCATCTCATTATATCATTATGTTATTATGTCTCCTGTGGTTCATTATGTGACAAATACTGTGCGTAAACTCAATTGCTTTTTATAATAAAATTGAGGATTCAGGCTTCAGAATATTTTACTTTAGAAAGAGCAGATCAGCGTCACCACATGTGCAATAATTACCATATTTGTACGATAATTTTTCACTCTGTGCTATCAATATTTCCATAAGGTACCATAATTTAATCTTTTGGGGATAGTGTTATAATAATCAGTGGTAAAATATTGATTCTACCTCAGCGCTTTGTCTGTGAATAAGACAATTTGCCCCAAAATACGATAATTTTAAGCTCCTAATACGTCAACATTTGAACAGATACATGTTGAACCTCTAACATCCTTAGCTAATGTTACGCAAATCTGTAACATCTTCAACACAACAGTTTACTGGTGTTGCACTTGCCGTGTGAACTAGTTCGTCAGGTGTCTGTAACATCATTCAATTGTTTAGTTGACTAATCGTGCACATGCCTACAACTGACAAGCGCAAATTTGAACCAAAGTCTAATCTCACACTTTAATCATCTTCATTAGCATGTCTGAGTAATGAAGCTGCACAGAGCAGGTGTTACTGTCGGCTTGTTTGTTTTTCTTTTTATTAAGCCTCCCTCTTTCAGTATTTGGATTTTTCACTTAAGTGTTTGAGGAGATTGAAGTTCTCCAGACCTATGGAGCCTTTGAGCAAACTACATTTTCCTCACGGACGATTCAGAGCAAGCTGCACTGCTTTAAGTTGTGTGCTGTAATTAATTGAACATAAGGATCTCACCATGACATAATGTCTCTGCATCTCCGTCTTCTCACTGGCCAGTTTCTCACACTCCAGCTTGAGACTGAAAAACATGATTCAGCGTTAACCCTGAGAGAGACCTCTCATGTAAACCAAATAAGGTCTCGTACAACCCGAACCAACACCTCAGTCTCCCACCGATTGCAGATTTACATCACATATCTTATGGCAGACATGTTTTCTCTGATCCCTCCTGGTTTTCGCTGACTGATTAAAGCAACGACAATGGCAAACACTAACATAAACAGTGTGGCTCTTCAAAGTTAAGTGGAGAAGATGACTCATCCAGTGTAAATATGACAAACATGTTGACTGTACAAGGTTAGGTTTAACCCTGCAGTCTGTATGTGTGAATCAAGATGTGAATTAGAAATTGGTTGCAGGTCGGCAGCTTACACCTGTTGTGGCCGACCCTCCCTGAAAACACATACACACAGAGCAGGGGAAAAAAACAGTGCACACACTCAAGTCCCTTTTACCAACACACAACCACACATGCACACACACAGGGGGGAATAAGGAGTGATTTATGAAAGCCTGAGCCCACACGCCACCCTCTGGCTCCCACCCATCACTGAGACTTAGACCTACCGCAGCGCAGAGCACTAACACTGAAGCATGTGTGCACACTTTAGTGTGTATATGAACCTAATCCAGGTTTATGGGTTAGCATGAGGACAGAGTTGGGGTTTTGTTCATTATGTTTAAGAGATGATTGTGGTTAGGGTGAGGTTTAGTGTTAGAGGGTAGATGACAATGAGGAAAAAATGGCCACAATGGTGCCCCATAAACACAGGAGCCTGCCCTGTGAATGTGTGTTTGTTTTATCCACCTGTGGTACTGTGCCTGAAGAAACTGGAACTCCTCCTTGATGCGGTCCAGTGACTCTGGGATGGTGAACTTGAAGGGCTGGCCTGGAGCCTGGTGGGGCGTCTGACACACACACACACACACACACACACAAACACACACACACACACACACACGGGACATTATTAATATCACAGTGCCTCGTTATGTGGCCTGCAACATGCATTTCATTCTCCTCCAGGCTGGCATGTAAATGTCATATTCGAATTACAGGCAGTTATTAAAACAAACAATAGCATTAATCCCACTCTGCTGATCTGTGCAGGTGCAGAGACCAACTACCAGGAAGAAGAGGGAGCTCGATGTGATCGTGCACTGAAGCCTGGAGGCTGTTCTCACTAAAACAACAGGGGGCCGGGGTGTAAGACAAAAGAGGCAGTGTTATCTCCCGGGCTGCGGAGAGCCGGTGACAGCCAGGTAACTACTGCTGGAGCAGGAAGAGTCTTACCGGGTGCCGCCCCTGGGGAAACATCGTTATCTCCGGGAGGATACGACCCCTTCCTTCTTAGCACCACCACGTTGCTGGGGGAATCAAACAGGGTCTGGTGAGGATGTGTGTGTGTGGGGGGGGAGAGAGGGGGGGTAAGCTCCCGATCACGGAGAAGGATCCATCCGCCGTAGTTGTGAGCAAGTGGAGTTAATCTCAAATAAAAGCGACCTCCGCCTCCTCCGGCTCGCTCCCACTTCACCGAGCGTTTAACGTGGATCCCCGCTCCTCTCTCTCCGTCTGTCCCCCGCTCCACCGGCGGTAACTCAACCGGAAAAACACTGGAAACGGCTCATTAGCCGGAGGCAGCTAAAAGAAGCTCACCCGCGTCCAACGACCGTTTCACCCGCTTCCAGCTACACGGGCCAGGTGAGGGGAGCTAACCTCAGTCGCCCCGGGGACTGAACCGGTGTATTCCGAAGTAGAAGCAAACCAGCAAGGTGGCCGGTGTGTGGGGGGGGTTCACGCCGGTGGGTCGTCAGCTCTCAGCCGCAGATTGTCGCCTCTCCGCCGGGCAGCAGGATCATCCACGCGGGCTGGAGGCGGAGGAGTGTCTCCTCTTGAGTGTGTGGCGGAGGCACCGATCACTCCAGTGAGAGAAGGCGAAGCGGCGTCAGTGTGAAGAGGAGTTCGATCACAACAACATCCTCTTCCTCTTCCTCCTCCTCGCTGCTCCTCATCTGAAACTTTCTCACGCGGTTTCACGAGCTCCTGCCAGCCCGGGCTCTGCGGCCCGCCCACAAAGCGGCCGCAGCCCAATCAGAGCCGCGGCTCCACGTGGGGGGAAAGGATGCGGAGCGCAGTGCTGACCAATGGCCGCTCAGAGACACGCCCCCCACGAGTCCGTTGACCCGCTTGAGCTACGCGCGTTCTGGCCAATCAGCGCGCGGCGAGGGAGCAAGCCAATCAGGAGGCGCGCGGGGCGGGGCGAGGGAGGAGGGTGGAGGCGAGTCTCAGCTGTCAGTCAAAGTAACGTGGGTTCGGCTGGGGTGGAGGACACACACAAAAAAACACGCACACACACACACACACA